TGACAAGTGCAGGGTGCTGCACTTGGGCAGTAGTAACCAGCAGCACACTTATAAGATGGGAAACGCCTTTCTTGAGAGCACGGAGGCAGAAAGGGATCTTGGAGTCATTATTGACTCCAAGATGAACATGGGCTGACAATGTGAGGTCACGGTTGGAAGGGCTAACTGGACCTTGTCATGCATCCACAGGTGCATCTCTAGCAGGGACAAGGAGGTGATCCTCCGCCTCTATGCGACACTGGTTAGGCCACAGCTGGAGTACTGTGCCCAGTTCTGTGTGCCCCATCTGTGGACAGTCAGATGAGGAGTGCATCACCTACTACTTCTCTGCCCTGCCCAAGGGGGTGAGGGTGTGGGGGTGGGGCATGCTGTTTGCCTGCAGGCCCATTGCCCGCCATTGGGTTGGCCTGGGATCCTGCAGATTGAGAGGCACCCAAGCTGTTGTCACCCTGGTAAGTGTGGGGCTGGGCTGGGTTCCTGCTACAGATATCAACATCAAGGCATGGCAAGTGAGATCTCAGGGGAAGACCCTTACAGGCAGGAGCAAAAGCTAATCAGGGCATCAACAGGGTGCCATGGCAGCCCTAAGGCATGTCCTGTTACATGCCTCAACTCAGAAATATAATTTTAGAAAGATAATTGAAATTAATTACAAAGTTCATTCTCAAAATGATTATCCCTTGACAATATTGCTTATTCCAGGAATGAGCATAAATTCCAGATTGCCTCCAGAATATGCTCAACCTAAAGCACACTTGCCAAGATAATTTTCTATGGGGCTGAATTTGACCTGATTTCCATTCAGACTTCTTTTTTGCAAGATAACTTCATGCATAATGATGAGCATTCTGTTGCCATTAGATAAATATTTGTGTAACAGCTTCATATGGATCCATGGTTAAAAAATACAACTGTTTTATTAACCCTTGATTTTTTTTCTTGATGTACCTACCAAGGCAAAGACTATGAATTGCACAATAGCTTCTGCATAAAACTTGTGAGAATGTTTTCAGGATTGCTAAAGAGATTGCTTTTACCTGTTGCTTTTTTTTTTTTTACTTGTATTTATCCTAACCTTATTTTCCTATTCTATTATAATAGGGTCTTACTAGGTTCAGAAATGGCTTTCCAAGGATATCTGGACACCTGTAGTCCTTTAAAAACTATATGAGCAGGGAGAAAACCCACCAACCTTGGTCACGAAACACAATCATGGTAATAATGTCCTATTAGCACATACGAGAATCTATTCTGTCTCATCATCCAAAATACCAATGCACATAGACTCTGTCACTGGTTTCACTTTATGAATCCATGCCAGAGGACTCTCTTCAGCTTTTCTCCTAAACTTCTTGAGCTGTCATCAGCAGGCCTGTTGTGTAAGGAGACTATAGTAGAATGCTTAATGCAATTCAGTCTACTAATAGAGAAAATGCTTAATGTGGTAAACTTTTCTGAAAATATCCTTGAAATAAACTAATTTTATTTCCTGTTTCACTGTGAAGAGGCTCACTGAGATCTCAGATGACAAAACAAATGGGAAATGTAAGATAAAAAAAATTGTTTGCTTGCCCAGAGTTTTATGTGACTGTAATCTAATGTTCAGCAAGCAAAGGAAGAACAGTGATAGATAACCATGTTTGCCTGTCCTGTTACTTTTGTTTCTCACTTTAGTAGACAATGTGATAAAAGGAAGACTACTCAGGTACTTCAGAGCATTTCTAGAATGTGAAGTATGTTTTTTGTTGACTTAAATCATAATACCATAGTTATATGCACATCAGAATGGCATCACAAGCTCAAAACAAATAGCGCCAGGGATCTCATAAAAATAAAATGGTTTTGAAGCATGAGCTAGAATGATTTTTACAACTAAAATGAATGTAAAAGTTTGATTCAGATGTTACTGCAGTAATACATATCATTAATAGGCCAGCTGTAGCATGCTTAGGGCTGATTTCTGTGGGCATGATTATCATTGTCTCTAAGTTGCATTGTTTCATTGTCCCTTATAGTACTCCTACAGTGATATGGACCTTAGATTGAATGTAAATTTCTGTCTACTTGAAGGCCCCTTTACATTGCTAGAGTGCTATAAAGTGCCTGTAGTGATGCAATGCATCAAGTATATTAGAATTAGGAAGTCTAAGATAAGATCAGTAGGTCAGCTGCACTATCAGCAGAGGAAGGGAACTATTAAGGAAAGGGAAGACTTCTTAAGAGGGCACATGATAAAAATAAACCAAATGATAAATGTTATAGTAAAGATTGAGTGGACATGTCTATTTATCCTTTTACATAGCAAATGGTAGTGGTATTAAAACTGAAAGAAAAAATGTTTTCTAAATTATGCACAACTTGCTTAGGGAACAGGACATTCTGCTTAAGAAGAAAAAAATAAGAAAAAAATAATTTTAATTTAAATAAGAAAACCCAGAGTCACTATAGCAAAGATTAAAAAAACTACAGGGCCTTCAGGCTTCAGGCTTCCCCTACATGTTAGAGATACTGTGCAACTACCTGGTTAATTATGCAGTTACCTTAAGAACAGGTACATGTGTGTAAAGTAGCCATCACACAATAAAAAGCTCCAACCAGCTATAAAGTTAGACCTTGGAAATATATACTAACTTTATAGCTGGTTGCTATTGAGCCTTAATTTGCATGTGTAGTAGGGTCTCTGACAGGGCTGCCAGCTGTAGGGGTGCATGATGCCCAGTGTGGAACCCCTGAACCCTGGGGATTACAGCTGCTGTGATCCATAAGGCTCAGGGGTGTGGTGCATGAAACCCCTGGCCTACATGCAGAGCCGGGACTGAGAGACCCTACAACTGATGGGACTCTTGGTCCCAGCTGTTCCTTATGCAGGCTGTACTAAGAGTCCTGCAACTGAGGGAGCACCCAGTCCCAGGTGTGCCTCCCATTTGTCGTAGGACTCTATTCCAGCTGTGTGTGAAGCATACCTGGGCCTTAAAGCAGTTGTGGGACTCTTATTTCTT